TCCAGTTAAACAAGGAAACACAGGAAAATGCCTCCCTTTTCATACATAAACCCACATTTTTATCAAATGACAGTTCCCTTTAGATACATTTTTGACTATTAATAATTCTGAACATCAGAGATTTGAGTGTGCTTCTGAACTATTTTTTTCATGTATTTGGACCACTTTTATCTTTTGGGGGATAATGTTTTTCTTACGTATTTGTTTTTGGATTCTCCATTTATAAAGGGCGTTACCCTGTATCACATTTGTCATATATATCCCAGTCTGCCATGTGACTTTTAATTTTATGTTTTCATTATGCATAAATTTCACAGTTTCCAATGGTCAAATTAATCTGTTATGTTATATACTGTGTTGATTTTTAAAAAGTCCTTCTTATATAGGAAAGATTTAATAATGTATTAATCTCTCTCTTTTCTAAAACCTAAAATGAGAATAAATAACATAAAAGGTATAAACAGGGAGGGTTAACAGCACTAAAGAGATGTTAATATTTCAAAATATAAAAAGGAGATGGATGGCTAAGTAACTGATTTTGGTAGAGGACAAAAAACTGAAAAAGTAATTTATAGCTCATTTGGGCTTTAGGCCCAGGAATTGCAAATACTGATACCTATAAAATCAGAATTAGTTCAGTTGGTAAATAAAGACTTTGAAAGGCAGAGATATTAGAGTAGGGTTGAAAATTAGATGCTTGGTGGAAAGTCCTTGGCATTTCTTCTCTTTTCTCTCTCTCTCTTTTTTTTTTTTTTGCAGTTTTTGGCCGGGGCTGGGTTTGAACCCACCAGCTCCGGCATATGGGGCCAGTGCCCTACTCCTTTGAGCCACAGGCGCCACCCTCTTTCTTTCTTTTTTAAAAAAACAGACAGGGTCTTACTGTATTGCCCAAGCTGGAGTGCAGTGGTGATCATAGTTCATTGTAACCTCAAACTCCTGGGCTCAAGTGCTTCTCCCGCCTCAGTCTCTCAAAATGCTGGATGACAGGAGTGAGCCACCATCTTTGGCCAAGTCCTTTGCATTTCTAGAAAGGATTAACCAAAGAGTTGGCTCTGGGACCTGAGACAGCTGGTAAGAGTGTTGCATTGAAAACAAAGAGATCAAATGAAGGTCTATACAGTGAAGACTGAGAATCCTAGCTCCTTTTCCCCAGTTCAGAACACTAATAAAACACAGACAGCCAGGGTTATGATCTTCCTTGAAATTCCAAAGGATTAAAAAAACCCATATACACTGGGAGGCCAAGGCGGGTGGATTGCTTGAGGTCAAGAATTTGAGACCAACCTGACCAAGAGTAAGACCCCATCTCTACTAAAAACAGAAAAACTAGCTAGTGGTACATGCCTGTAGTTCCAGCTACTCAGGAGGCTGAGGGCAAGTGAGGCAAGAGGATTGCTTCAACCCAAGAGTTTGAGGTTGCTGTAAGCTATGTTGATGCCTTAGCACTCTACCCAGGGCAACAGAGTGAGACTGTGTCTCAAAAACAAAAATAAAACAAAAAACCCAATATATGCTGACATTTGGATATTCTTCCTTAAATGGTCCACACCAATGAATGGAGACTGCACATAATAAATGTACACACCAATGCACATAAAGCATTTAGGTAGCTTTTCGGTGCCACATTCTTAGAATGTGAATAAACAGCCAATGGTCAAAAAAAAAGACAAACGAGGGGGCAACATGAACCTTATTCTCAAAGGACTGTGGTTATTTCTTTTGATCTGCCTGGTGGCTCCATGAGATCAAAAAAGGGTTTTTCTTTGTTTTGCCTGCCTGAGTCCCCCCAAGGTCTTAAACAATTTCTTAGGTGAGTAACACTTGCCAAAAGTATTAAAAAGCCATGTATTAGCCATGGCCACTAGAGGTAAGGAATAACAGAACAAGCAACAGACAGGCAGAACACCTAGGAAGAGAGAGCCTGGGGAAGGATATCCTTGTTGGAATGAGAACCCTAAAAAGCTTGACTGGGTCAAATGCTTACCCAGAAAGCTGGATACATGCTCAGACAAGACCTGAAAAAACCCTAAGCTCTCACTTTTGGATGATCTTTGGACTGCGCAAACAGGAAATGTAGGCTAAATCAGAAGGAATAGCCCCCAAAGAGCCATCTGTAAAACCTGGGAAATTATGTTTTTCTTTCTTGGAGTTCATGGAATTTAAGGTAACAACTAGGCTAATCAAACACCCTTCAGTAGGCACACATAAAGAATACAAACTTTATAAAAATGGTTTAGGAAAGACACTAAACAAACACTAAGAACACAAAACAAGCAGTAACAACAAACCATTAAGAAAGAGGACTGATTTCCACAGTAGCCACACTATAACACTCAGCGTCCGATATTCAACAAAATTTATGAGGGACAAAAAAGAAACAAGATATGACTCATTCATAAGTAAAAAGAAATTAACATGAAATATTCCTGAGAAAGCCCAGACATTGAACTGGCTAGATTAAGATTTTTAAATCAACTGTCTTAAGTATGCTCAAAGAAGCCCAGTGTAGTGGCTCGGGCCTGTAATCTTAGCACTCTAGGCAGCCAGCAGGAGGACCTCTTGAGCTCAGGAGCTGCAGAACAGCCGGAGCAAGAGCGAGACTAGTCTGCACTAAAAATGAAATAATTACCCAGGGGGTTGTAGTGGGCACCTGTAGTCCCAGGTATTTGGGAGGGTAAAGCAGGAAGATCACTTGAGCCCAAGAGTTTGAGGTTGCTGTGAGCTAGGCTGACAGACACCACGGCACTCTAGCCTGGGGCAACAAGGTGAGACAGAAAAAAAAAAAAAAACGATATTAGGAGAGCCAAAGGAAACTACAGACTAAGAACTGCAGAAGGCTGGGCACCTATAGCTCAAGAGGCTAAAGCACCAGCTACATACACCAAAGCTGGCGGGTTTGAATCCAGCCCTGGCCTGCCAAACAACAATGACAACTGCAACCAAAAAATAGCCAGGCATTGCAGCGGGCACCTGTAGTCCCAGCTACTTGGGAGGCTGAGGCAAGAGAATCAATCGTTTAAGCCTAGGAGTCAGAGTTTGCTGTGAGCTGTGATGTCACAGCACTCTACTCAGGGTGACAGCTTGAGGCTCTGTCTCAAAAGAAAAAAAAAAAAAACTGCAGAAAACCAGGATAATGATATTTCACCAAATACAGAATATCAATAAAGAGAAATTACTGGAAAATCATCAAATAAAAATTATGAAGCTGAAAAGTATAATAACTAAAACAAAAAATTCTCTACAGCAGTACAACAGATTTGGATAAGCAAAAGAATTAGCAAACATGAAAATAGGTCAATTAAAATTTTCCAATCTGAGAAAGCAGGAAAAAGAGAAATATAAACATAGCTTATGAGATCTGTGGGACACCATCAAGTATACCATCACACACACAGTGGGAGCCACAAAACAAGGAGAGAGAGAAAAAAGTAGATGGAGTATTTTAAGAAATGGTCAAAAACTTCCCAAATTTGATAAAAGACATAAGTCTACATATCCAAAAAGTGCAATAAACTCCAAGCAGGATGAATTTAAAAGATCCACAGTGAGATACATTATAATCTCACTTGTTAAATTGTTAAAAGTCAATCAGGAAGAGAAGAGCTACTCTTCATCGCTAACTAAAGCCCACACTAGTGCTCTTAATGAGGTTAACAGCTGATATTTCATTGAAAACTATAAATGCCAGAAGATAGGGAAGAAATATTTACAGGCCTGAAAGAAAAAAAACTGTTAAGCAAGAATTCTATATCCAGGAAAATGGCACTTCAAAAATAAGGAGAACAAAAATAAATAAGCTAGATAAAAATAAATTAAGGGAGTTCATTGCTACTGTTAGCGTTTCCCTTAAGAAATGCTAAAGTACTTCAGTCTGATGAAAGAATACAACACAGTAACAAAACTGTACAAAGATATAAAGAATTATAGTAAAACTATATTTGTTATTCATAGCCATACATTTTCCCCTACATTGTTAAAAGAAAAATGCATAAAATACATTTATGTTAATGGGCACACAACCTATACAGAGGTAACAAAATAAAGAGGGAGAGACAAAACTATCTAAGAGCACAGTTACTATATACTACTGCAAGTTGAAGTGGTCTTAATTCAAGCTAGATTGCTGTAAATTTAAGATGTTAATTGTTACCCCAGAGAACCACTAAGAAAAAAAACTGAAATATATACAGAAAAGGAAATTAAAAGGAGAAACAGTACGCTAGGAAAATAAAACATAAAAATGGATAGTAAGGGAGAAACTGAGGAACAAAAAAGATTTAAGACACATAAAAAGCACTTAGGAAAAGACAGAAATGCTTCCTTATTAGAATTATTTTTTTTATTTTTGAGATAGAGTCGCACTTTGTCGCCCTTGGTACAGTGCCTTGGCGTCACAGTTCATAGCAACCTCAAACTCTTGGGCTTAAGCAATTCTCTTGCCTCAGTCTCCCAAGAAGCTGGGACTATAGGTGTCCACCACACTGCCTGGCTATTTTTTAAGAGGCTGGTTTTGAACTCATGAGCTCAGGCAACCCACCTGCCTTGGCCTCCTAAGAGCTGAGATCATAGGCAGAATTACTTTAAATGTAAACAGATTAAACTCTGATTTAAAAAAGATTGGCAGAATGGATTAAATAACTATAATCCAATATACTGTCTATCATGCTTTAGATACAAAGACACACCAGGGGGTGGTGGCTTATACCTGTCCTCTTAGCACTCTAGGAGACTGATGTAGTGGAATGCTTGAGCTCAGAAATTCATGACCAGCTTGAGTAACAGCAAGACCTCATCTCTAATAAAAACAGAAAAACAAGCCAAGCACGGTGGCGCATGCTTGTAGTCCCAGCTACTAGGAGGCTGAGGCAGGAGGATAGCTTGAGCCCAAGAGTTTGAGGTTGCTATGAGCTATGATAATGCCATGGCACTCTACTCAGGGCAACAGAGTAAGACTCTCTCTTCAGAAAAAAAAAAAAGAGAGAGATAGACACAAATGGAGATCGCTTCAGCAGCACATATATAAAAATTGGAATGATACAGAGAAGATTACCATGGCCCTGGCACAAGGATGACACACAAATTTGTAGAAGTTCCATATTTTTGTGAAGGAAACAACTACAACTCAGACTTTACCTTACAAATCCAAACAATGTAATCCAATCGTGTGTGCCCTCATGTTAATCTGAACTTAAATATATATTATTTTTTATTAAGACAGAGTCTCATTTTGTCACCTGTTTGTCACTGGTGCCCACCACAACACTCAGCTATTTTTTTTTTTAGCAGGCCCAGGCCAGTTTCGAACCCACTAGCCCCAGTGCATGTGGCCAGCACCCAGCACCCTCACCCCTGAGCTACAGGTGCCCAGCCAATATAACCCCAATAGGCTCAGCGCCTGTGGCTCAAGTGGCTAAGGCGCCAGCCACATACACGTAAGGTGGCGGGTTGGAATCCAGCCCGGGCCCACCAAACAACAATGATGGCTGCAACCAAAAAAATAGCCGGGCGTTGTGGTGGGTGCCTGTGGTCCCAGCTACTTGGGAGGCTGAGGCA